CGTCTTTGCATTTAGATCGACTAGCCCATTTAAGTTATTATCCAGTACTTGAAACAAAGTGTTTGAACATGGTTCAACTCTCCATGACGTTGACTTCACAACACGTTTCGTTATCTTTTTTTCAGTCCATGGTGTAACACGATGTTCCAATGTTCCTGTAAATTTAAATAAACAATACTTAGTAAAATATATAAATATGATAAGTTACGAATTCAAAGAAATAATACCTGCATGGTTTCTTTTCTTGTAGTACCACTGTTGAATAGAGGCTCGAAAAACTCCATTAACATAGTAATGGGTAATTTCCGGGAATGACGACTTAGAGCGTTGATTGATTCTGCACTATTAGACGTCATGAACCATATCTTGCTCCAAGTTGATGTACTCTTGACCATCTTTCAAACCCGACATCTTCTAGTGTTTGAGCACACTGAGGCAAAACACGTCTTAAACAATTTATATGCTTATTGAAATCCACTTCCCGATAAGCTTTTACAGCCTTCCAGTATGTCCATTTGTGCTTTTTTATACCAGCAGACCTTGATTTTAGATTTCTATACAAATGAACACCACAAAGTCCATGAAAAGCATCTGGGAAACACCTTCTAACAGCGTTGTCAATTGAGTTTGCCCTATCGGATATGATTGTCAGATTGCTAATAGGACCTATGCAATCCCTAAGATGCCCCATAAACCATGTCCATGAATCAGAGGTTTCAGATTTGCCAACCCCGTAAGCTATTGGCAATATCCCATTGTTAGCATCCATGGCTACTGCTAATAAGTTTACTCCAAGGTATCGACCTTTCAAATGTGCTCCGTCAACTATAATAACTGGGCGCATGCAAGTAATAAACGAACGAATCTACAAAATAATATACACAAGAAATATAATCATTTAAATGTGAAATGCATGTAACTAACAAAAATGAGTCAACAAAATTATATTGATTTACTAACCGTAGCACCAATGGCGATAAACAGCAACTCAAAGCGTCCATCTCTATCTGTTTTGATATGAGTTACCGACCCAGGATTTTTCAGCTTTAAATTGTGACAATAAGCCGGCAGTTGGGCAAACGATGCTTCTGGCGACCCCCTCAACAATTCCAAGGCATAACATTTGGCTCTCCAAGCTTGAGAATATGATATACTAATCTTGAACCGAGCATTCATGTCAGTCATAATTTCATGTCCCCGATATACCCTGCCATTCAAAAACATTAACTCAGCCAGAAAACCACCCAACACCTTTTTGTTTGCCTGTCTATGGTGAGGAAAAACTTGGGTTCTTGAACATGTATGTTTATCAATAAAAGTCCTAACTTGAAACATTTTGCAATCTTTTATTCTCTTTGCAATCATACGCCACGTACAGTTTTTGTCAATCATACACCTTGTTTCGAAACGATCTTTGCTTGATTTGTTAACTTTTAGTTGATAGCCATCTTCCACACATTTCGTATATAAAGCTATCTTCAAGTCTTCCTTTGTATCAAAACAATCATCTTTCTTGATACGAAAAACTTTTGTGTAACAATCAACTGCTTTCTTTATCAACTCTTCTTCCGGTATCTGAAGTAATTCTGGCATATTCCAGTTATACGCCCGTGGCATTTTCTTTTCTTCGGGGACTTTTTCTTCTTCTTTTTCTTCTTCAGGATTATATGAATTACAGAATGGATGTTCAACATGTTCATTCACAGTCGTAACTTCCTCCTCATTATCATCAACATTACATTCTTCGGCAACGGCTGTTTCATCATCAAAATTCGGGTATTGACCAATATCAATATCATTACACGCATGGTCTGTTTCTTCTTCTGAAACATCATCAAAATCCGTGTATTGACCAATATCAAAGTCCGGATATTGACCAAGACCAAATTTCGAATACTGACTAGTACTCACAATTTTTTCTGTTGGCTCATCATCGTCTAACTGGTCAATACGAAAACCGGAATTTGGTGCTGAAAGTTGATTGGGATTTGGATTAGAGAAAGGTTGTGGGTTTTGAGAAAAACTTAGTTGATTACTACCCGCTACTGACCCAACAATACTACTTCTAGGTTCAACAACATACAATGTAACATCATCTTGTGAAACACTAATGTAAGCAATGAATCGTTCAACATCTTCATTGTCGGTTAACAAATAAACTTTACCATTTCTCTGATAAGATAGCCTAAATCCACTTAGGGGCTCTAAATTCAATTTATTTGAAACACGTAGCATTAGAGTTTCATAAGTTAACTTTTGTAAAGACAATTTTAGTTGAAGATTTATGGGTAAAGGCATATATTGTAAAACACCATTAACATTATCCCATGACCCTCCAAAACACAAATCTATCCAAACATGATCAACATTAGATGATTTCATGGTTGTAACTAAACAACGAGATGCGAAACTAAGACCTGTTGCCGGATGGGGAAGGATGTCGTTGGATATAGGAACGGATGTCGCCGGAGAGAGTGATAGATGGAGATGGAATGAGTTGCGATTTAGGGATTTAGTTTATGATTTCAGTGTTATATACCCAAAATTTCAGTGTTGTGATTTACAGATTCTCGTTGCGATTTACGGATTATCGTTGCGATTTACAGATTCTCGTTGCGATTTACGGATTATCGTTGCGATTTACGGATACGCGTTGCGATTTACGGATTATCGTTGCGATTTACGGATACGCGTTGCGATTTACGGATACGCATTGCGATTTACGGATACGCGTTGCGATTTACGGATACACGTTGCGGTTTACGGATACGCGTTGCGATTTACGGATACGCGTTGCGATATACGGATACGCATTGCGATTTACCCATACGCGTTGCGATTTACGGATACACGTTGCGATTTACGGATACGCGTTGCGATTTATGTGTTCGCGTTGCGATTTTCATATTCGCGTTGCGATTATGGAAAATCGCAATGCGAATTTGTACTATCGCATCGCGATTTTCAAGAATCGCGTTGCGATTCTGGAAACTGATTTGCGATTCTGGGGATCGCGTTGCGATTTTTATTTCGCGTTGCGATTTTGTTGGTCATTTTGGCAAATCCAAAAAAAGTTGGTTAAAATCGTATATTATAACTTTTTTTTGGTCACTGAGGCGATTTTCTCTTGAAAAAATAGTCTTAAAATGGAGAAAGTATTGAAAAAGAACCTCACAAGACTTTTTTTAAAGTGTAACATTCTACTAGGCATTCAGTTTATAAGATAAGTGGTAGATAAAATGGATTTCCCCACAAATGTTTAAGAACACTCATGGAAAACATTAACGATGATGTTTATTATTTTTTTGGTTCAGCTATCTTATTTTGTTGTGGTGTATCAATACATGAACTTACATGAATTATGTATTTTTCTTTAAGATAAGAACCTAGTGTTTTTGGAAAGTATTTACATTTGACATGTTGGTCAAACTGCTCATCTTTGTACCCTTATATTCTTTTAGGTCATAGGCTCTAGACCCAATAGGAGCACTCACATTCCTTCTCCTAGAGTCTCCTCACTACAGCAAAATTGTTCTACAACGGCGTTTTTAGCGGCGTTTTGAGAGTAACGCCACTAACTTTAAACATGTAGCGGCGTTTACATAACAAACGCCACAAAATGGTAACTTTAGCGGTGTTTTTACAAAAACGCCGCAATAGGGTAATCTATAGTGGCGTTTTTTTAACAAACGCCGCAAAAGAGTAGTACTTAGCGGCGTTTTTATACAAACGCCACAATAGAGTAGTACTTTAGGGGCGTTTTTATACTAACGCTGCAACAGAGTAGTACTTTAGCGGCGTTTTTATACAAACGCCGCAATAGAGTATTACTTTAGCGACGTTTTTATATAAATGCCGCAATAGGGTTCATCTGTAGTGGCATTTTTTCAACAAACGCCGCAATAGAGTAGTACTTTAGTGGCGTTTTTATAAAAATGCCATAATAGGGTTCATCTTTAGTGGCGTTTTTCAAGAAACGCCGTAATAGAGTAGTACTTTAGTGGCATTTTTATACAAATGCCGCAATAGGGTTCATCTGTAGTGGCATTTTTTCAACAAACGCCGTAATAAAGTAGTACTTTAGCGGCGTTTTTATATAAAAGCCGCAATAGTTTGGTATGTTTGTGGCGTTTGGGTTAAAAAACGCCGTAAATTTTAACAGTTTATCTCTTCAGCCCGAAAAGGAGATTTAAGCAAAAGCCTACTTTCTCATTTCTTTTTCTTCCCTTGTCACATATATATTACCAGAGTGTTTCAGCTCCTTTTTTTCTTTGATGAGGTAGAAGAAAAGCAACCCCACGGCCACAGTAAATCGGCGCCGATGATGGGGTAACCTCCAAAGCTCTCCCATTTTAACGCAAAAACAACCCCCTAAACCTAAAAGCTCATATGCAACCTTTACATCTAAAGGGTTTAAAAAAAAAAGAAAATACCTTCAAATCTTGAAGGCTTTGGCTTAGGTCCAAGAGGAACGATGGTGGCTTCGACGAAAGGTATGTCCTTTTTAGGTTTTCTCTTTATTTTCTCTCTTATTTTTGGCTAATATTCATTTTCTGGGTTGATGTTCGAAAGGTGCTCTCTTTTTTATTTTGATGGATGAGTGGTGATGGTCGTTTTGTGTTGATGAATGAAAGTAGTGTATTGATTTTGTTGTTGTTTTTCTTTGTTGCTCTCTAAAATATCCTACCCCGATTTTATTCTCTCTTTTTGTTCTTTTTTTGTCCCCTTTTTCGTTTCCAGAACCGAATGCCCCTGGTTTTTTGTTCTTTTGCTTGAAGGTTGGTTCGACGAGAATTAAGCATGCTTCAACCAGCTCACAGTGCGGTTGCATCGGTCATCCTTATTTACAAGCTTTCTTGTGATGCTAATGGTTGTGCCGTAGGTATCTCCATTTGTTTCTTGCATTTTTCTGGTTTAGACTCTCTGTTTTATACATCTTGGTTGCTTACTGATCATTGGACCATTTTCAGAAAATGGTCATAAATAATGTTGAGATTCTTCAGAATGCAATTTTGACTGAAAAGACAATGGTGTGTGGATCAATGTACCATGACAGTTTGATTTGGAGAATAATTGCTTTAGGAGCAAATGAACGATGCCTACCTCTTATACTTGTGACATTAGATAGGTTAAGATATCAAGCCATGTTGTTTATTCTATGCTAAATGTTTCAATTTTGTGCAAGTTTTAGTTCGAGTTTAGACTTTTCAATTTTCCTCAATTATCTGATTTAGACTTCTGTTAAGCTCAGTAGTTCAGGTATGTATTGCAACGACTCAAGAGATGTTTAAAATTTTCATAATTATAACTTTAGTGCTTTATAATACTTGTATCCGTGGAGATAGTGACAATTGAGATGCAACTCTTAGTTTTATCAAATACAAATTTTCTCAGCTACTATTCATATCAAGCTTTCATGGATTTCGGGTTTCCAGATATATTCATCTCTGGTGAGGTACTCAGAAAATTATCTATGATACTCATGTCACATGCACATTCTTGTACACACACGAACACATTGAAACAAGCACCCTTAAAGCATGTTGGTTTGTATTATGAATGTATATACACATGTATGAGGTTCTGTGTGTTTCATTCTGTTGGTATTTAATTAGTGTCTTTTCACCTTAAATCTAGAAATTATGAACAACTTTGATCACCCATTTCACTCTTTACATTATATAATTAAGTGATGCCAAATTTTTACTGTCATTACAATTTGTTTGATTTGTGCAGACATTTGGTTGGACCCTATAAGAAGCTAAAATGCACATGGTTACTGATTACTTCACCCATTCAGAGGTGAGTATTTATTTGTTAAGATAACATTGCTTAGACATAACATTAGGAAACTTTGTCTTAAACAGGAAATAAGGAAAAACCATAATTCAAACCTTCATCAAAATTTATGTTTAGTTCTTAATACTCTGTAGAGTGCTCTTCCCCTTCATAACCTTATATTATTATTATTATTATTATTTTTTGAACAATGTACAGAACCTTCTATTAGAACCTTGAATTTTATTGGGAAGCTATAAGCTTACCTTACTCCTATTGCAGTGGATGGTGATTGATGATGTGCTTGGGCCAAACCCTCGACATCTATTTGAGCTTTATGTGCTCAAACAAAGCAATTATTACCAAAAGTAAGCTTTATACACTATTCCAGTGTGTTTGTTGTTGCTGAATCTCATTGTGTCTTAGTTACTTTTAAGCTTTCTCTTGCGGTTGTAACTTAGTCCAAAGCAATCAACTTTTTTATTGTTCTTGGAATTCATACTCCTGTTCTTTAATCTTTCTATTACTAGATTTTAAACCTAGGATTTACCTTATTTCAAGCGATTTAAGCTGATATAGAAAGAGTTTTTTTACACAGTATTACATTTCTACACCATATGTGGCTCTATCTTGAGAGTGGCTTATTTTTTGCTTTGTATTTTTTACTGTCTTTTGGTGCCATTACATTTGACCAACTCACATTAGGTTTTACAATTACTCCCATTGTATTAGTATTAAACATTCTATTTTACTTTCCCAATCTTGTTCTGAATCAGGAAAAGGCATTATCTTATACAACCATTAAGGCAACATATTGGCAGTTAGAGTTAATGGTTTCTGTACTGATTGATTTATTTCCATGTTGCAGATCAGTAGTAGAATGTTGCAGCTGTAGGCTCTATTTGAATCTTTGTTTGATCTTTGTACTGTTGAAAATGTGAGTTGCAAATTGGAGTAAGACCTCATGAAGCAACATATCTGTGCAAGAAATGACAGGACAATACTAGCTCTGCATCATTGTTTTCCCATATAAACTGGATTTATCTCTTTGAATTTAAGCGTCTCATTGTGACGAAGAATAGTGAAGAATGTGTAAGATTATAAGCAAAATATCTTAGATGTTATTATTGTTTATTATAGTTAATAATGCTGAACTACATTATATTTTACGTTAATGTAAACTTTGATTTATTATTATGGATTTCAATTTTCTTGTTATGGATTTTAAGTTTGTTGTTTATGGATGTCAAGTTTATTGGAAAATGCTACATGTTAAATTTGGGTATTAAAAGAGTAGAAAACAACATTTGACAAATTAGTTTTAATTTGCAAAATCAATTTCTCTTAGCTATAGAGAGGTAATTAGCGTTTGTATCTTAAAACGTAGCTATAGATATGACATTTTGCGGTGTTTGTTCTAAAAAACGCCGCTATATACCAGATCTTTTGCGGCGTTTGTGGGAAAAACATCGCTAAATCTCAAGACCTATTGCGGCGTTTGTGTCAAAAACGCCGCTAAATATCAACACCTATTGCGGCGTTTGTAAACGCCGCTATATATCGTTACCTATTACGGCGTTTTTTGTTACCAAACGCCGCAAATTTTAGCGGCGCTATTTTCAGCGGCGTTTGTCATAGAGCCGCGGGTGTTTTCTACGGCGCTTAAAAACGCCGCTATATGTAAAAAAACGCCGCAAATGTACAGTTTTGTTGCACTCTAAATAGGATTATGATTAGATTTAGAATTTATAAAAAAAAAACTATTTTTCTACTATAGTAACTTGATTGAACTCGTCTTGGAGGTTTCCCTTTGATTAGCACTGCTAATATTTTTTTCTGAATCCAGTGCTTGAAACTCACAAATATTGTAATCAATTTAGTAACACAGTTTAATTCATCACAATTTACTAATAAAAATGAGACTGTAAGCTAATCTAGAGACATAAAAGTATAAATTAGTGTGAGGTCATTTGATGTTGCCTAATTCTTTTCGCTTTGGAGAGAGTGTCATATGTTGTTCTGACTTTGAGAAACACTAACATCACCTGTCATGTGGTCTGAGACTCCATAATCTATTATCCAAGATTTGTTTGCAAAAAGAGCTGCAAAAGAGAAAATTCCTTAGTATTCCATCAAACTAGTGTGCTGAGCATGGAGTTGCTGTTGATGTTGAGGTAATTGCAGCATTTGCTGATGCTCTTGTTTATAACATGCTGTAAGAATATGTGAAGAATTGGGTAGAGTATTTTGTGATGATTTTTAGTCTAATTCAAAATTGATTTCCAACCAAAGAATACTATGGCGGATCCACCATCTTCATGAGGAAAAATTGATTAAATTAGATCCACTGTTGTAATTAAGTGACTATACATGTAGTTGAACCATTAATTTTTTTCCCTTGTCAAACACAACAGGCAGCTGTTCTTACGACGTTTCTTCAACATCTTCCATTTAAGAGTTCCACTCTAAACAAAATCAAATCTATCGAAAAAATCAAATCTCGTTTTCCTTAACCCTTTCTAAATTTCTATCACCAAGAAAACTGCAAGATATAAGAAACAAATTAAAAAAATCAACAAATGAATATAAAAACATTTTTTGAAGCGAAAATTATGAACAAAAACCGACCAAAAAGAGATGATAACATCTTTTGACTGGTCACGTCTAATGATTTCACGAAGCAGCCTGGTCGGCCGGGGGCTGGCTCTGGGTCACATGTGTTTGTGGTGGCGAAAACGGGTGCCCTCCATTTTTTGAACCGCCGTCGGCGGTGGCGACACGCTCACATGAAGGACACATAGTTAGGGTAGTGGCAGGTAAGTGCATGTAAAATGGTTCAGAAATCTTTAAAGCTCTTAACTCCTGCAGTTCTTTTTGTAACCTTCTATTTTCATCTCTGAGTGTTTCGCACCATCTCTTTAAATACTCACAATCTACCTCCGTCTGCTTTAATTTCGTCCTGTTTTCATACCATTTTATTCAAAATCAATAAACAACAAAAAGTTCACATATTTTTGGCAATTCTTAAACCTAACAGCCATGAAACTAATTAATATTTTATTTATACCTTGCTCTTCTATTCTGAAACCAAACTTCCACTTGTCGAGGGCGGAGATTTAACTGCTTCGCCAAAGCAAGCTTTTGTTTCTGAACCAACGTTTTTTTTTAAACAAAATATTTATTACATGAACCCTAAAACTAGGGAAGTAAATTAGAAGAAGTGGTTCGGTTTTTGTTTTGACTCACGGGATTTAGGGTGTTGTTTTCTCTGAAACTTTCTTCCAGAAAAGCCGACTGTTCTTTAGAGAGCCGCAGTTTCTTCCGGGTTGAACCATTCTCTTCATCGTCACTGGCTCTTGAGCTACCCCTTTCGGTTTCACCTTCCATGTTGTCTCTCTTGCCTCTTCTGCCTTCGTGTGTAATCCCAAAATCCATCCGAAAGGACGACACCGCGCTGTTCGGAGAAGACTGCGCCGCCCCTTCCTCCGTTTCATCCCCTAACGCCACCAGCGGTAGCCGGTTCACGTCTAATCCTCTTACCAATCCTTCTGATGAACCCGTTTCGTGCACTAATGTTACAGTACAAAAGTTAATATTTTCTCCAAGTCAGATAATATCATAATAATAAAAATAAAATCAAAATCCAAGGCTACCCAGATAAATCAAAATATCCCATAAAATAGCATTAAAGGTTGAAGAAAGAAGTAAAAGAAATTCAGACTTCAATGTTCTTTGTCCTAAACCTTATCAAGAACAGGGAAGAAAACATGTAGCTTGGATTAAACTAACATGTAGCTTGGATTAAACTAACGGGAATAAAAATAAAATATACTAACGATTATCAGTGTGCCAAGGAAGGCGAAGCTGAGAAGGTGGCGCACGACGAAGAGGAGAGAAAGGAAGAAGACGAAGATCTGAAGAAACCCTTTTGTAGTCTCCATCTCTAGTAGCTTCTATGCAAAACCCTAGATCATTGCTTGATAGCTTTGGGGGATCACCCAAGCTCAAAGCTAACTCCATCAACCTTTTTATCCTCTAGTTTGATTTGATGAAGAAAGAGAGAGAGAGAGAGAGAGAGATGAGCTGAAGAAGAACAAGAAAACTTATTCAATCTTGTTTTAATGTAAACTCACAATCCTCGACCCTCTTCTTCCTCTACAACACTCCTTTTTATTTGCTTTTGGCTTCGTGGGAGAGATTGACCGACAAATCCAGGCTGACAAACTCACGTGAATCTATATAAATATATACACAAGAAAGAGAGAGATATCTTGTTTTTGTAAACGATAAAGCAAAGATGTTCGTATTAAAAACGATGGAATTTGAATTGTTTTTAGAGAAATGAAAAGGAAAGTGGAAGAAGGAGATGAGCGATGAGAAAAACACACGGCAGGTTTTGTTATTGTGTTTTCAATTAAGAATGTATGTAATGTAATCCATGGGCATAGCCCCATCTATTATTAAATGTTTGGTGGGGAAGATTTTGTTAATTAATGCGACTATAAACTTCACGATGTTAATGAATTATTGTCCTCTCACCAAACAAGGGGGCCTCATCTTCATCATCATCCCACCATGAGAAAATGATTTCTCATCCAACGGCAGGGAAAGCGATCATCAAATCTTCCTTTTTCTATACCCTTTGGATCAACTTTCTTTCTCTAGAAAAGTTTTCATTTATTGTTTTTAAATTCATTTTCTAATATTTTAATTTTTATTTATAATGAATTTTAAACAATTAAAAATTAATAAGTGACTATTTCGAGCATTATTATTATTATTATTATTATTATTATTATTTTGGATAATTTAAAATTTATTACCCAAATAGCAAATTGCTACAGTAACAGAATACAAAATCAGTAACTGAAATACTGGAATACAGGGAGCAACCTACTTACAAAGAAAATCAAAGATCACATATATCCCAATTCCTTACAAGAGTAATATTAACATTGTCATTTCTATTAAATTTCCTATTCCTTAAGTGTAGCCTGACTATATCCCTTATGGTTTGAAACAGTTCTTGAGCATTCTTAGATCGGCTTTGAAACAGTCTCTTGTTTCTTTCATCCCACAGAAAATAGATAGTAGCGTTGAGAGCTATCTTCAAAATTGAAGTGAGCAGAGATTTTCCTTTCCAAGAAGAAGTTGCCCATGCACAAAAAGAATTCCATGTACTTGGAAAAAACTGAATGCCAGAAATAGAGAAAACAGATTTCCAGATGAAATCTGCCATAGAACATTGAAGGAATAGGTGGTCCCTTGTTTCAGTATGTTTGTCACAAAAAACACATTTGCAGTCGTTAATCAGTCCCATACGGTGAAGTCTTTCCTTTGTAGGAAGTCTATCAAGCATAGCCATCCAAGAGATTAAACTATGCTTAGGAATATGTAGTGGGAACCAAATAATCTTCTGCCAGGAAACAAGAGGTCTTTTTTCACGAATATAATCCCAAATAGATCTCACTGTCACAACACCATTAGTCAAAATGGGGTAAGCCTCCGATCACAGTTTAAGGAGTTTCCTAACACTCCAGCTTAGAGATGGACGAATGTTAACAGTCCATAGGTCCGTATCTTTGAGGACATAGCATTTAATCCATGCCATCCAAAGTGAACCTTCACCTGCTAGGATATTTTTAATGAGTAGGAGCATGCAAGCTTTGTTCCAAGTTTTTATGTCTTTGATTCCAAGGCCTCCCTCAGATTTCAGGAAACAAATGTTATGCCAACTTACTCTAGCTCCAGAAGCTTTTTGATCAGCTCCTTTCCAGAAAAACCTTGAACATAGTTGTTCAACTTTTTTAAGAACGGATTGAGGCAAGAAAATTTGCCTACACCAAAAATTGATAAGGCTAGATAATACGGTTTTAATTAGTTCCAGCCTGCCAGCGTAAGTAAGAGATTGAGAAGACCAATGATACAATCTTGCTTTGATTTTTTCAATGAGAGGCAAGCAGTCTTTTTCAGAAATTTTTCTGGTTACGAGGGGAATGCCCAAGTATCTAACAGGAAGGATGCTGATTTTAAAACCCGTAAGCAGATTTATTTCTTCCAATTTTGAGGCAGTCATACCAGCAGCAAATAACTCACATTTAGAAGCGTTGAGTTTAAGTCCTGACATTTTGTAGAAATGGTCTAAAACGCTATTAACCCCAATTACAGATTCAATAGATCCCTTGCAGAAAATCAAAATGTCATCAGCAAATGAAAGATGAGTAAGACCTAATTTTTTGCATTTAGGATGGAACCCAAAGATTCCTCTAGTAGCTGCTATGTTTAGGAGCTTGGAGAGTACATTTATTGAAAGAACAAATAGTAAAGGAGAAAGAGGATATCCTTGCCTAATTCCTTTTGCCCCTTTAAAGAATCCAATTAAACTCCCATTAAACGAAACCGAGTATCTAGCAGTAGAGAAACAGATTTCAATCCAAGTGATAAAGGTTGAAGGCAATCCAATGTCTTTAAGAACAAAAGAAATGAAGTCCCAATTAAGTGTATCAAAAGCTTTATGAAGATCAACTTTCAGAGAGCATCTAGGAGAAATGTTCTTCCTACTATAGCCCCTAACAAGTTCTTGTGCAAGTAGAGTATTATCAATAATATTCCTACCTTTAATGAATGCAGTTTGGTTGAGGGTAACCAGATCAGGAATAATGTTTGTTAGTCTACTCACCAGAATTTTAGAAATTGCTTTATAGATAACTGAGCAACACGAGATAGGTCTGAAGTCCTTAACTTTGCAAGGATTAGGGATCTTAGGCACAAGCGCTATAGAGGTGGCATTAAAAGCTGGAAGCAAGAACATATCTTGAAAGAAATGTTTAATGGCAGCAATAACATCATTATCAATGATGGACCAGCATTGTTTGAAGAAGAAAGGAGTGTAGCCATCAGGGCCAGGAGCTTTATCATTACCTTGGCTGAAGAAAGCTATCTTGATTTCATCCTCAGAGATATCTTTCACAAGTTCATTTGATTTATCCTCAGTCAAGGAAAAATTCAGTAGGTTTTGCAGAAGATTAGGATCTGTAATAACCACATCAGGGTCAGCAGAACCAATTAAGTTGCAAAAGTAGTTAGAAACCTCTGAAGACATTGAATCAAAAGCTTCCAGTCTGTTGCCTTGATCATCAATCAGGATACGAATGGTTTCTCTTTTGTGCTTAAGAGCTACTGCTGAGTGAAAGAATTTGGTACATTTGTCACCATCTTTTAACCATTGGACCTTAGCCTTTTGTCTTAAAAGCAAATTTTCAGCATCTTCAAGATGTTTGAGTTCAGTTTGCAGTTGTAATTCCTTGTCAATTAAGTCCTCACCATTTAAAGTTTTAATCTGCTGATATTCAAGATCAGATTTCTTTTTGGTGACCCTGGCTCTAAGTTCACTGTAATTAGAACGATTAAATTCTCTTAGTCTGATTTTCAGACGCTTCAACTTAGAAAAAAGAATTTTCATTGGATTACCAGTAACAAAACTGTTCCAAGATTGCTGAATAACTGTCATGAAGTCAGGATGATGAGACCAAAAATTGAAGAACTTGAAAGGCTTTGGTCTGTTTGCATGGACTTCCTTTGTAAGCCAGACCAAAGCTAAGCAGTGGTCAAAAATGCTAGGGGCTAGGAATTCAACATGTGAAGTCTGGAATTTACTCACCCAATGAGGGTTGACTAGAACTCTATCAAGTTTCCTAGCAAGGTAGGAATTTTGTTGTTTGTTGCTCCAAGTAAAAGATGGGCCAAAGAAAGGATGATCAATTAAGTCAAGGTCAAAATACACATCCTGAAAGTCCCTCATGGCTGAAGAAACAATAGGACCTAAGAGTTCAGTGTCAGAACTCTCATTTGGATGTAGGGTAATGTTGAAGTCACCACCAATGATCCAAGGGGTTTGGGCTAGCATGACATCCAAGTCTCTAATATTATGCCAAAGAAGTCTTCTCACTAAACCAGCATTACTGCCATACACTGCAGTAATAACAAAAGGGGTACCAAGATACATTCCCTTAACAGACATGCATTGATCAGACGAATGAATAACAGAGAAGTGAAGACCTGATTTACAAAGGATCCAAATTCTGCCATTTACAACATACTCATAGTTAGAACTGATTTGCCAACCATTGAATTTTCTATCAATAATACTTCTGGCATTTTCGACTTTAACCCTTGTTTCAAGCAAACAAAGGATATCAATTTTGTTTTGGATTGCTCTTTTGAGAACTCTATTTTGCTTGTGAGGACAGTTAAGTCCATTTCGAGCATTATTATAGTGATGACGATGAAAGAAATATAATGATTAAAATGTGTTGTTCACCGAATACAATTAGGTAATGGCAGTGCTTGTTTGTTTTCAAATGATAGCCGATTAATTTAATCCCAGATTTGTTGTTTCCGACTACTCAATTAGCATTTCTTCCAATGACGTAATTCAAAATAAAAGTAGATGGGTCACGCCGTTGAACCCGAAGCTGACTCACCAACCATCATTTTTTTTCCGCTTTCTTCCAATCCAAGGTGGCATTGACCACTTGGGTTGAATCCAATTATCACAAAACCCCTACTTTTTCACCTAAGTTTCATGCGTTTAAGAAACATTCATAAATTATTATTTAACTTATTATTGTCATTATAAATCAGGTTTTTTAATATTAATTTTTAATTAATTATTGATAATTGATATATTTATTACTTCTATTTAGTACAAGATAATTTTTAACTTAATCTACTTCATTTACAACATTCAAATTTAAATTCATGATCTTCCATAAAGATGCAGTGCTTCATCTCATTCAACTAAGTAATAGTTAGTGATTATTTCCGTATACTTTGTTATTAAAAACTAAATATTTTAACTAACCATTGTGTTGGAAAAGCTCAAATATATTTTATCACAAATATATTCGGTTATTCCTCGAAGAAGTCTTCAGTTAAGAGTTAAGGCGTGGACACGGCTTATTCATCCTGAGCTATCGCAGAAGAAGTCTTCAGTTAAGGCGTGGGCACGCCATCTATCAGCTCAGTTCGGTTTTTTATAGGTTTCAGTTTTTTTCGGTAATCATTTTTTGGATTGGTTTTCGGTTATTTTATTGGATCGGATTGGATTTGATCACATTTATTTGATTTTGTAGCAGAAATTGCTTCTTTGGGTAATAAAATAATTTAATTCATCCAAAAAAATGTAGTACTTTAATTTTGGATGATATTACTACGCTCGACGAGTACGAATGAACTCGGTTAATGATGAGCACTATTAAATTAAATTATAAAATGTTAAATTATAAAGTACTAAATGTATAATTATAGATTAGTTAAAAATTAAAATGTAATTTAATTAAAATACAATATTTATTAA